TCAATCCCCCCCTGCTCATGTGCGCATCGCTGTATCTAGTTCTTATACATCCCCACTCTACAACAATTCAACACCTTCAGCGCCGATATTGGAACGCAGTGACGGCGTTTAGGTACCACAATATCACGAATGACTTCGATTTTCCAGTAGCTCGGCTTACTCCTACTCGATTTTCTGTACTTAGGTTCTTCCCGTGCTGCTACAAAATGTACGTGAGATACTAGTGCTGAATAGATGTCCTCCTAAGGACATAAATTGTAGCTAAGCAGCACTCAGATTCTCTAGCCTCGTTCGGCCGGAACGTGGATATATTTGCAACCACTAGTACACTTTCGCGTCTGCCTGGAGTTAGTGCTGACTTCAGCCCCGCAATCAAGCTTTCTCAGCCCTGCCAGCCGACTCGCTCGACCTTCTGCTTCGGGTGAAGGGTTCCTTGATGATCACATTTCCAGCCTGGAGATTAGCCGACTGGACAAATCAGGTTGTGGTTGATACCGCCCCCATGTTGCATCACCCACCACGCTTCACTGGGATGAACCACGCCAGCGACAATGCTGGAACAGCAACTCCACGTTTGTTCGGGATAAAGTTAGTGTCACAAGTCAATTATTTATGCATATGTTCTGCTGGGTGGGGTCTTAGTTAGACAAACCTGGAACTTGTGGGCGTTGCTGCAATCACTCACCATGACCCACGGAGGAGAAGTTAGGTCAACTACGGGGCATAGCTCCATCATCATCGAAAGGATGCTGGTATAAGTTACATACGGATAGTATGAACGCTCTTGCATCTTTGCCGGTGACATTAGAGTAAGATTGCATCTATTTTGTGGTTTCCCATCGCTGTCATTGTCATGCCGGGGTCTTGCCATAACACCCCATGTGAGTAATGCAGTCTCTCTTACCTACCAATATCGCCCTTACATGAGATGAAGATGGCAAGCTCTAGGCTAACAATGTTCCTCATAGATCTTATAGTATCGACCAATAGTGATCAATTAAAATACGATTTGTCGGGACGGCAGTCTAGGATATCCCGTGTCAGGATCGTTGAGTTGCGCTGCTGCCTGAGGCCACAATATCATTGTGTGGGTGAAACAAGCCAGCGATTGATGATTATGCCCATCTCTTGCTGGGGGCCCATCACTTTATCAAATAACTGATAGTGATGCTGGATACATTTTAGCTGATAGAGGGTTGTTTATGAAGTGCTAGCTGGCTGAATGCTAAACCACATAGTATGTTAAGGAACCAGAAGTGTCGCTACACACCTCTAGTGTCACTTTTTCCCTGGGTCTTTTGCTGATATCATAGTGGTATTAACGATTCCCACGCGATGATGATGCTTTTCTCTTCTGGGTGTGGGGTCAAGGTAGATGGTGGTTGCGACGCTTCAATGATCGCCGTGTGCCTCCAAGGTACTTCCAAGGACCCTGTTGCATCCATCTCGCTCCCTTTAAAGCATACGCGACCGCGCCTGGCCGTGGCCCTTTCTCCTTGTACCCCAAAAGAATGAACGCAATGTTAGAGTCTATTTCAGAGCAGATGATGTGCAAGCCTTCCCGTTTATCTACTCTTCCGTTGGAGATGGTTGAGAGGATTTGCCACGAGCTTGCAACGCAAGATTTGGCCGCGCTCCGAGGGACTTGCCGTGCCGCTCATCACCTCACCAACCGGTGTTTTGCGCAACGGTACGCGGAGTACTACACAGACTTCTCCGCACACTCTTTAAACCACTTGCATGCGCTGGCCGAGAACCAGCTGATACGAGGTTATATTCAACACCTGGTAATCCTGAGTCCGGAGCCGAGACTCGGGGAGAACATGGACTGGCACTGGACGGCTGCTGGCCACCTCCGATGTCCCCTAGGCATGCCCTTGATCCGGCGGCTGCGGGATGATCTGACACAGAAATTGGTGAACTGCCGATCTTTTATCCTATCGCCCATTCTGTCACAACCCCAAAGTAAGGCGGACCTCCACGACAGCCCGACCTTCAATCCTGACGATGTCGCATGCATCCTCCTTGACCTCATCGCGGACGCCTCTCTTCCGGTTAAGCTCTTTTGGTATGGCAAGGGCATGAATTACACCTCCAAAGTCATGGACATTGCACGTCTCCCAAAGTCACTCTATAGCAATGCCGCCTTCCAGACGGGCTGGAAGTCCTTGGACAACCTGCACCTAGAGCAGGAACTGACCCCCCAGAACTATACTTTCGTGATGGACATGATTCTCAGTGCGACTGGTCTCCGCAAACTACATCTTGGCCTCGGATACACCGATCTCGCCGTTGAGTTCTTTTCACAATTGAGTGCGTCCATTGCAGCTCTAGATCACCTGGAACGGATCAGTATCTGGGGAACTGCGATGCAAGCTGAAGATCTCGTTCGGCTCCTCTGTAACTCGCGAACAAATCTGAAGAAGCTTAGTCTGCGGTCAGTGACGAGCTTGACGCCGCAGTGGCTAACGTACCTCTGTCAGCATCGTGACCTATTTCCATGTCTGACTACCATTGACTTGAGCATGATCCATGGACCTTCTGGTATGTTGTCGTTTACGCCAATGCAGAACTTGCCTCCGGAGCAGAAGAACATGTTTGAACTTGAGCGTTGTGTCTACGAGGATCTCCCACACACAGGTGGAAAGGCAGGCGATATAGTCGGTATTTCCTACAGTGGTTCGGATATTCGGACGGCATTGAAAGCGCTGCTAGAAGTGTGTAGCGAGCCTGCTGGTCATCAATGAGGAATGATGGTGGTGTTGTGGCGACGGGGTATATGCATACAAGGATACCCAAAGTGGTTTTTTTTTTCAATTTTCTTGCACTGCTTTATTCAAGATGCCATGTCATATATATAAGAACTGAAATAATATACACATACGCCTAGAGTTGTTTTGGGGTCAAGACAGGAAATATTGGTGTCTGGAATGCTCCCAGACGATTGATAGCACCATTATTGGTTACCTGCGCTAGGGATACATTTCCTTTTCCAGGTGGTTCTCGAGTGCGGAACACCACGAATAGCGGCATAATAGCATATGGTAGATAGTTTTCCATGAGATAATTCAGTCAATTCAATTTGTCTACTTCGCTGTGGAACGTCTCCAACAGATACAGCATCGTTTTCGAGCAACATTTGGAGACTGCGGATGACGGTGCAGGGCAAGCCACGCTTCCGACACCGGGCGGCACGGAATGTGCCGATTATTCATCTAAAAATTCGTCTATGCCATTACGGACAGAATGCTTTTCTTAATGGTTAGAAGTCAATGCGAAGATGAAAGGCCAGGATAGTAACGATGGTATACCATCTGCTTGCGGCATGCCACGCAGGCCGTGATGCGACGGGGTCCCCGAAGGGCTCCTCGTCAGCGGCGGGAGAGGGCCGAGGCATGTCCATAATGCCATACAGCTGTAGAGATAGTAGAATGAAAACGATATCAATTGCAGCTGACAAGATTATCGCATTTACTGGACAATACTTTCGGCTTTCAGGTCCGAGGAGGCGTATCGCACGACGGCGGCCTGCTGGCTGCTTACACAGAGAAGCACGATACTGGAGATAGCTAAATGAGTAGTCGTAATTACATTCATAGTTTGATGTCTAAAAGATCACCTGTTCAAAGGCATGAGGCAATCCGCGGGCCTGTAGCCACGCCTCCAGGGCCTGCATATCCCCCCGGTTGGCTCGCTGCCCGCTGCGTTCTCCCAGGGAATCCGTGATCTCCTCCATCCCCTCAAATACCCGCTGCACTCCTTCCGTCTCGCGAAATCGTTCGCTGACTTTTTTCTGATGACTGGGAATATCCCCCCAGGAATGCGTTTTGATGAAGCTCATGTACGCATCTATATTCTGCGATGTCCCCTCCAGGCACAACACGCCTGGTTTGCCCGCCAACACAAATCCAGTGAGCCCATAACCTGCCGCGTGATGTACCAGGTCATCCCGCTTCTTGCGCGTAGATAGGGAAGGAAAGTAAAACCAAACCCGCACCAGAGGCCCTGGCCCTGACTGACTCGGTGGGAGATCCACCGGCTCTGTTGGCTGGGCTTCCAAGAACCTCGTCGCTTCCTCACGAATATGGTCCAAGGCCGTAAAGACGTCGTCCTGCGGCATCGTAGCGGCCAGCGCAGCGACCTCGGCCTTGGACATCCAGTCTGGTTGGCGCAGTGTATACTTCGCCGGGGGTGGCTGATCTAGTGCAGGGCCATCATGGTACAAGGGAATGGAGACATTGACCTGGATTGTCTTCCCGCCGTCCTCCAGCGGCAAACACACTCCCAGCAAGAGGCTGGCAGGTATTCCCATCGGCACGGTCGATGGATCTTGACACCAGTCCCGTAGTTGATCCACACATTGCGATGTAGATTCGGGCAAGTCCAGCTCGCCCGGGCCCGGAAACATAGCCGTGAGAAGATCAATGATAGCCAGCTGGGACTCTATCATATCCGCGGGTAGGAGAGACGATCGTTGTGCCGCCATCGTTGGAGCGATTTCCCACAGCGGTGCTCTCCAAGGGGCGTTATTGGGGGTGTGATACTTGAAAAGAGTTGTTTGCGCAGCACATTCAATTCCCAAAGTATGGTGTATTATTCATGTATCTTGTAGACGGATTTCCTCTCTTGGACCTCTCTGTTCACGTTCAGCGATGGTGCGTTTTTCGATGGATCGCCGGTGCCGGCCATCAAAACTGGGGCAAGAAAGGGGGGTCGGCGATTGGCTCTCTCGGGCCGAGTTTCGGGGATACATACATAACATGACTAATCATGCTTCCCAATCAGTCACTTTGTCGATTATTGTGTGCACTACTATTGTGTAAGTCCATCCTAGAGTCACGGCTCCTAGATGAATCTTTGAATGATCATGCTCAAAATATTTTTCTCACACTATTGTTCCCAGTTTGCTTATCTGACGTTAACTATTTACGTGATCACCCTTCAAGAGGGCCAGTGTACGACGACGGTCCTTGGCCATCAAGGGTACCCACCAGCATCTCTCACAAGTTGGCTTGATCAGACGAGGCAATCCAGTCATACTTATCCCCCAGGTACTTCTGGGCCCGTAGATCTCCCGAGCGCGCATGGCCCTCAAACTGCTCCGCCCTTGCAGCTCGACCACACAGCCGACCCAGCTCCCCACTGGCGGTGCTACTAGTCACTTCCTGGTAAGTCACCGTGCGCAGATACTTGCCCACCCAAAGACCTCCTGTATACCGCGCTGCCTTTTTGGTGGGTAGGACATGGTTCGTTCCGATGACCTGTTTGAAAAAAAAGCATACGTTAGAAGCAGCCTTCCAAATTTCCATGTAAGCTTTCCTATGGCGGAATCCAGACCTTATCACCATACGACACGCATGTCTTTTCCCCCAAGAAAAGCGCTCCATACGCTGTCATCTTCTCTAGTGCCTCACGAGGCCGCTTGGTGAAGATCTGCACATGTTCACTTGCATACTCATCCGCCAGTCGCCACGCCTCGTCAAGGGAGTCCACCAGGATGGCTTCCCCGAACCGGTCCCACGATGTGCCCGCCAGCTCGCGCGTGGATAGATTCGGAAGCAGCTGGTTGATGATGTCGATGGCTGCCCGTCCCACGCGCTCTGAGGTCGTTATGAGCACAGCCGGCGAATCCGGCCCATGTTCAGCTTGTGACAGAAGGTCGGTCGCTACCGTGAATGGATCGGCCGTCTCATCCGCGACGATCAGAATCTCCGTCGGGCCTGCGAAGAGGTCGATGCCCACCTCGCCAAACAACTGCCGCTTCCCCTCCGCGACAAATGCATTTCCCGGTCCCGCGAGGAAGTCCACTTTTCGGATGGTCTCTGTACGGCGGGCAATAGCGGCCATCGGGCAAATGCGTTGAAGTGCCTTTACCGCTTTGCATACCGCATCCTAATTAGGACCTCATGATATACTTACTGTATGATACTATAAGGATTCTTTCTCTAATTATCATTAAACATGCCTTCTTTTATTAATCTTGAGCCGTACAAGACTGAAATTATTAATCTGTTTTATCAGGATTAATTTATAAGTAATATTACTTCCACTATTGAAGTTAAATACCATGTACAAGTCTGTGAGCGTATAATCAAGACTAGATTAAGTAGTTGGGGTATTAGTAAGTATAATTATATAGCTACTACTGATTCTTCTTTATACAGCCGGATTAAGGAGTTATTCTTTAAGAGGTATCTCTTTAATTTAGAGATTCTATATACTATACAAGATAATGTTGGATTGGCCCAGGGACGCTAGTCCAAAATAAGAAGGCGGTCTAGCGGGGCTAGGCCAATCAGAT